TCGGGAAAATGTGCCCTTAGGCGGATTATTTGTGCTAGTAATCTTGCAAAAGCGAGATTACGGCTAGATAATAATCACACATGTGACCATCTAGTTGACGCGTCAATTAAGACCATAAAATATCTAAATGGTCCACATGGTGGATGAATTGGTCCACATATATCCCCTTGAATTCTTTCTAAAAAACTAGGACTTTCATACCTAACTTTATTCAATGATGGACGGGAAATTAATTTTCCTTGAGAACATGCAACACAAGACAATTGATTAGCTTGAAAAATCTTCTGGTTTTTCAAGGAATGTCCACTTGAACTTTCAATTATTTTGCGCATCATAACTGATCCGGGATGGCCCAACCGGTCATGCCAAACTTTGTAGATGTTATCATACCTTTTATTTTCAATAGCATGAGATTCAATCATTCTAATATTTGTATAATACAATCCGGAGGACAATACGGGTAATATTTCCAAAAGACTTTTCTTACCCGATATCATTTTCGTAATATTGAGATACTCTTTATCACCATCATTGGTTGTTTCAACATGATATCCGTTGGACCGAATATCCTTAAAACTTAATAAATTTCTTGGTGTTTTGATGAAAATAATGCATCTCCAATTGTAATTATTGTCCCTTGTGGTAATATGATATTCGCTCTTCCGGAGCCTTCGATCATTTTTGCACTACCCGTTATTGTATTAACATTTGCTTCTCCAATTGATAAGTAAGCTAAATATTTTTCATTATTAAAAATGCTATGTGTTGTTGCACTGTCTGCAAGACATATATCTTCCTCATTTCTTTTGTGAATATCCATATTTCTCTTCAATAAATAAATAAAACACAAGAAACATTCGACTTAGAGGAATAAAGTCATATTTTATTATTTTGGGAAGATTGTGACGACATCATTTCTCATGAAACGAATATGACATAAAAACATAATAAATGTCATGAAACAAAACTACACATTATTCTCCAATCACCATTCATATCACCACGTGTCCCTTCTGGGTAGACAAGAAAATCGGCAATATCCAAATCTGTCATTTCTGGTTGATCTTCATGAATATCACTTTGAATAATATTTGTTTTGATATTTTATTTTTCTTTAGATTTTAGATAAGTTTGATAAATATCAACAAAATGATTTGGCAAGCGACATGTACAAGACAAATGATCGGTCATTCAACATTAATGACAAACATTTTCAACCTTTTTTTTTTGCCTTGACCACTTTATCATTAAGATGTGGATTTTTTTTATTTTCCAACTTCTGGTGGTTACTTCTAATCTTGTTATTTTTATGATAATCGTAATAACCTCCACAACGTCGGTTAGACCCATGACTATTATGATTATATGATGTTGCATTCACTTCAGGGAATGCACTAGAACCAGTCGGGATTGATTGGTGATTTTTCATCAATAACTCTTGTTTTGTTTAGCCACAAGAAGACATGAGATTAATTCATATTTATTTTAAACCTTTCTCATGATATTGCTACTGCAGGTGCATGTTAGTAGTATGAAAACTAGAGAAAGTTTTCTATAGCATGGTTTTCCATAATGAAAATAGAAATCAAAATAAAGACTTGTATGTTAAGGAATTGTTAGTTAAGAAATTCCATAAAATATGTTGCAAGCATTGGCATGTAAAATTATAAAAAATACATACCTGAAAATGACAAGAACAATAAGGAGTTAGCTATATGGTAGAGTCGTGTTGATAACGTGTTATAAAATATGATCAAATAACAAGATAAATTATAAAGTAAAGAAAGACATAAGAGTAGAGAGAACATTTATTCCAATACTTGTGATGAATTCATCAAGTGCCTAATACATATGGCTCACTATTTATACTATCCAAATTAGATGAAAGACGAGCTATAATATGAATGCACATTATGATGGTGTATTATTACATTCATAAAACACATTGAAATGGTTGTTACTAATGCTAAATAATGATGGAGAGTTACGGGAGAAATGGAGAATCCAATGGTCATTCACAAACTAATATTTCATAACACAACATACTTTTTTTAGCTTGTTTATTAAAGTATTTTATTTTAATTTCTATTTGATAGTTATAACATAAAACAAAATAATAAAACTACCTTGATATTAAAAGTACGGTGCTATAATAAAACAAAAAATTATTAAAAGTATAATTTTGTAATTGAAAAAAAAATGTATATATACTAAAAATACGAAAGAGAAGTGAAAAATAGAATGTTTTAAACAAACTAACAAAAGTACATTGCTATAAAATGTGTTTAGAAGTCTACCATTGTGAATACTCTATCAATTCCGTCCGATTTCTACATCCAGAGTATTTGTTTCTTTATATACTTGTCAATATCTATCCATCCCGTCCGTTTTTTTCTCAAACAAAAAGTCATACAATTTAACTATGTATACAATGTTTTTTTTAATAATGAAACAGTAATGACAGTCGATAAAAGTTGGATTCGTGAAAATCAAACGTCCCCAAATTCTTGGAAGGTCTTAAAAACTTTATGGAGATTGTCAGGAAACATGTTGACTTTGAAGACAAAGTGCGTTGTCCATGCGTAAAGTGTGTGAATATGTATAGACAGTTGTTAAGTACGGTTTATGGCCACATACACCACCGTGGGTTTCTAAAATCGTATACTGTATGGACTTATCACGGTGAGAAGCGTCCTGTTTCGGATTTATGCTACAATTCGACTCCAATAAACATTTCAACAACTAATGAGATGTTTGATGTAATTGATGATGTTATGGCGGAACAAAATATAAATAAATAAAATACAGATGATGAAGGACGAGGCATGGACCCAAAATTTGATGCTTTGTTTGAGGAGCTCAATACCAAGTTATACCCTGATTGTGAGATGTCTTCTTTAAACTTTTTAGCGAAGTTGTTGCATATTAAAGTGATCAATAAATGGACAAATAGTTCATTTGACCAACTTGTAGAGTTGCTAAGAGTTGCTTTCCCGAAGAGCAAGATTCCAACTTCACACTATGAAGCTAAGAAAAAGTTGAGAAAGATAGGGTTAGGATATGAGTCCATCCATGCTTGCAAATATGACTGTGCTTTGTTTTGGAAGGAGAATGATTCCATGCAGAATTGCCCAATTTGTAACGAGAGTAAATGGGTGGACACAACCACAAAGGGGAAGCGAGTACCACAAAAAGTGTTGCGGTACTTTCCTTTGACTCCAAGACTTCGACGGATGTATAGTTCTAGATTCACAGCTAAAGATTTGATTTGTCATAATACCGGAAGATCAACGGATAGTATGATGTATCATCTAGTGGATGGGAAGTCATGGCAAGAATTTGATAAGAGATACCGAGAGTTTGCCAAAGAACCTAGAAATGTTCGTCTAGGTTTACTGCTGATGGCTTTAATCCATTCGGCAACTTTAATAACAATTATAGTATTTGGCTGCTTATATTGACTACCTATAATACACCACCATGGATATGTATGAATGAGTCTTCTTTCATGCTAACTTTTTTAATTCGTGGCCCTAGATCACCCGCAAAGGACATTGATGTTTACTTGAGGTCTTTAGTAGATGAGTTGAAAATGTTGTGGGCTGAAGGAGTCCAAACGAGAGATGCATCAACCAACACTATATTCAATATGCGTGCGATGTTGTTATGGACTATCAATGATTTCCAGCGCGTAGCAGTCTGTCTGGTTGGAGTGGTCAAGGTTATTTAGCATGTCCTACTTGTAACGAAGACACATCTTCCATTTATGTGAACAACAAGATGTCTTATGTTGGTCACAGATGATTCTTGAATATAAAACATAGTTGGAGGGATAGTCTATTCTTTGATGGACAACCTGAGACAAGACCGCATCCTAGACGATTCAGTAATGCAACTATATTAAAGCAAGTAAATTGTCTCTCTGATCAAATTCCAGGGAAACATCCTGATTATGGGGGCAAAAAAAGAAAGCGCGATGGTGAAAGAAAAAAGAGAGAGTTAAATTGGACGAAACAAAGTATCTTCTTTGAGCTTGAGTATTGGTCTTCCCTCGACCTAAAACACAATTTCAATGTTATGCATGTTTCAAAAAATGTGAATGAGAGTGTGTTGAATACTGCATTGATGAAGGGTAGAAGCAAAGACAAAAAAGAAGCAAGAATTGACTTGAAAATTATGGGCATTAGACCAGATCAATGGCTAAAGGAGAAAATCAAGAAGATAAAGAAACACAACAAGGAAGAAAACAAGAAGAAAGAAATACTCCCACAGGCTTCTTACTCTTTCAAACCAATTGATCGACAATGTTTCTATCAATTCATTAAAGGAGTGAGACAACCCGATGGTTTTGGATCGAACTTTAAGAAGAAAGTTAATGATACTGAATCAAATTTGGTTGGGTTGAAGTCTCACGATCATCACGTCCTCATGCAATGATTGTTACCTACAGGGGTTCGAGCATTTCTCCCACCAAATGTTTCAAGAACAATCATTGAACTGTGTACATTCTTTAAAAAAATTTATGCACGGTCATTGGATGTTAACGACATGAGAAATGCCAAAACAGAAGTTGTGAAGATCTTATGCAATCTTGAGTTGATATATCCTCCAATATTTTTCGACATAATGATTCATCTTATTCTTCATTTACCTGATGAAGCCATTCTTGGAGGGCCTGTACACATGAGATGGATGTATCATTTTGAAAGATATATGAAAAAACTTAAAAATTATGTCAGAAACAAAGCCAAACCAGAAGGTTCAATAGCAAAGGGTTATGTTGCAGACGAAGCTTTGACATTCAGCTCTATGTATCTTGAGGGTATACAAACTAAATTCAACCGTGTTGATAGAAATGATGATCCGGACCTTCCAAAAAGGCAATTTTCTGTGTTCTCATCACAATGTTGACCAATGCCGGCTAAGAAAATCGTTGAACTTTGTAAAGAGGCCAAAAATCATTGCATTGGTTTGTGCTAAACAATTGCGATGAGGATGAGATGAGAAGCTACAAATCGTAAGCTTCTGCTCTATTAACTACATTTTCCATAGTGTTATAATATATTTTAACTATTCTAATTATTTTGTACCATATTCAGTGAATTCAAATCCGAATTGCCTGAAAGTGATTTCAAAATGGAATTTCCTTCATGGTTCAAAGAAAGGGTAAGTATGTTATATATTTATAATGTAAAACTAATTTATTACTTAAACATACAATCTTATATTTCCTTATAGATTTATCGTCTCCAAAAAGATATGCCTTTGGACTGTACTGATGAATTAAAAGCGTTGGCATATGGTCCGTTGCATGCATATTCTTACACTGCGTGCATAGTAAATGGTGTTCGATTTGTAGCGAATAGCCGTGATCTCCGACGCACTACTCAAAATAGTGGAGTTGTTACATTCGGAGAAGACGGTACACCATTGTATGGTCAATTAGAGGAGATTATAGAGTTGCATTATTTATATGATAAATCAGTTGTACTCTTTCGTGGTAAATGGTTCAATGTGTCATTACGTAATGGATGTTTACAAACTATAAATAATATGGTTCTTATTGATACTAGTCATGAATGGTATGTCAGTAAAATGTGGTATGATGATCAACAATACATCTTAGCCACACAAGCAAAACAAGTATTTTATCTCCAAGATCCTACTAAAAATGATAATTGGAGAGTTGTGGAAGAGGTTCATCATTGGAAACTTTGGAATCATCTAAGTATCGATGTTGTGAATGAGATAGATGTTGTGAATGACACTCAATCAACTGATTTTACCTTGGTTTTCGACTTAGGCACCTTGCCTATGCAGAAGACTTTAGGTGAAGTTGGTGAATCAAGTGTGGTTGCTAGGAGGAATGTTGCTCCTACTATAAACGATGACGATTTCATTAACGATGACAATGACAATGGTGACACGTACTCTTCAGATGAAGAAATAAATAATGAAAAATATGACAGTGATGATGATGTTGTACATATATATTATTCTAGTGATGAATCTGATTGACGCTATGTCGTAGTTATTATATATCCTGATTCCTTATAATATTTGTTAAATTTTCAAATACTGCTTATTTATAATTAGCTTTATTATATATTCTGAATGTTTATAATATTTGTTAAATTTTCAAATGTTGCTTATTTATAATTAGCTTTATAATATTTGTTAAACAAATAGTATAAAAACAACAAGTGTAAGCCTTTGGATTTGAATATTGATATCTCCGAGCGGACGTACCGATTTGTGGGGGACAACACGCAAATTTTTGTCAGACTGATCTCAAATCTGGTGGGATCAAAGGTACCGTTGCATTATCATACTTGGCATCGTGTTCCTATCGATTACAAAAATGATTTATATCCCGAGCTAGAAGTAAGTATACAATATATTTTATATGTATTGAATTTTACACTTATTAAATATTTTTTTACTAATCAAATATGTTTTTCCTTTTGTAGACTTATTTTGATCTAAATAGGTACCGGGGCACAGACTTGTGGGAACCCCTTCGAGCGGGTATCCAAGCAGACATGCAAAGAGGTTATCGAGACCGCAAGCATGATATGAAAAACCATTTTGATAGAGTTGGTGGATATCATGATGTGGAAAGGGCAAGAAGATGTCCACCGACTGATTGGTCTGCCGAAGCTTGGAACAAAATGATTGATTTGTTATTTTTGACCGATGAATACAAACACACGTCGGACAAAAATAAAATTTGTAGGTCGAAACTTCCGCACACAAGTGCTCACGAATGTAGACCCTATGCTCAACGACGTTATTTAGAGGTAATAAAATATTATAGTATTAGTTAAAAGTGTTATTAACATTTGTATAAATATATTTATTGATTTCACTTATTATAGGAAAAAATGGGAATGAAGCCGCAACATATTGAGGGTTGGAGACAAATGCGCTACAAAGAAGGTTCGGGTTGGTGTACGAGTCGAGCACAAGAAGATTGAGTAAGTGATAAACGAAATGAATGTGTTGTTTAAATATATTATTATTATTAATTATAGTTTTTTGTTTAAGGAATATTATTATTATTTTAATGTTTAAGTTTAGTTGTTTGTTTTAATTAACGTATGTTTATTGTTTTCTTTATTTTAGGAAAAAATTCAAGAAGAATATGAGAAAATGCAAAGCGAGGTTGGGGAAGGCGGAATAGTAGACGAGGAAGAATGTTTACAACGTGCCCTTAGGACGAGACGCGTGCATACTTGCGGGGTGGGTAGGAGACTAACCGCCAACTTCGGTTTAATTCCAAATGAACGATGTTCCACTTCAAAATCGTCTCAATCTCAACCCCAATCTCAATCCCAATTTGATGCACAACAAATGCAAGAATACTTGCAACAATATAATGCATCATTGGCGGCATGTATTACGGGCTTCCAACCACCTCCATTTCCTAACTTTCTATTCAACTCTAACACACAAGCAAATACCTCTCAACAAGTTGCCGAAAGGATGGAAGAAGAAGGAGAAGAAGAAGGATATGATTATGATAATGATGTTTGATGTTTTTTTTAGTGATTTAAACAATGTTAGTTAACTACTGAACTTCAATTTGAACTTCAATTTGATGTTTTGAATTTGAACAATGGTACTTAGTTAATGCATTTTAATTGATATATGTTGGAATGTGTTTTGGATTTGTTAAAAATGCAGGAATAGTAATATACTAAATCTGTAAAACTGAAAAAACAAACAAACAAACAGTGCCTATCCCGACGACAAGTCGTCGCTATAGCTATGTCATTGGCTCATGTTAAAAACCTATAGCGACAACAAGTCATTGTAATAGATTAAACATATGGTGATGACAAGTCGTCACTATAGGTGTGCCGACGACAAGTCGTCGCTATTGGTAATTAATAAAACTTTATTTTTTAACCCCGAAAATATGATTGAAAAAATCTATCCCGACGACTTGTCGTCGGAATAGGTGAAGCTATCGCGACAACATCGACGACTCTATTGACCTATGCCGACACGACTACGCCGACGACAAGTCGTCGGTATAGGGTCCGAATTTGTCGTCACCATAGGGTTTTAATGTTGTAGTGAATATTTTGAAATCACAAAACCATCGTTAAAGAACACAAATTATAAGAAAGTGTTCATGGGGCTGAGTTTTTATTTTTGTTTTATATATTCTTGGTTTTTACAAACAAAAAATAAAAAGTAGAAATGGGTAATATGATATTTTACATGATTTTAACAATAAAACTTACAACAGTATTTTGTTTTTGTTTTTTTTTTTTGTTTTTTTTTTTTTTTTTTTTTTTTTTTGGGGGGGGGGGGGGGGGGATAGTGTAACAGAATGTAACCACGAGGAAGGGATATAACGAACACAGTGAGCATATCTGCAATTTAGTCTTAAAATAATTAAGAAAAACATGAAGATTGCTTATGGTTTGAAATGAAGTTTATAATCAGTTTTTGAAAATTTATCATAAAACCATTATTGATTTCGGTAAATACTTTTTGTTATAAAATTGTTTTACCACTTTATCATACCATAGAAATCTAACTAAGAAAAAAAAAAGTCAAAGAGTAATTTTATATAAATTTTTTGTGAGGATCACTTATAAACCAATTTTGCAAGAAAATACGTTTCATGAAATTGATAATTAACTCGTGGTACATATTTGAAAGATAGTCACTTCATCATATAATATGTTTTCTTAATTATTTTAGTTATTAAACACATTAAATGAGGAAAAAGTTAACTGATCTTATCAAAAAATCTGTCGCCTACTTGTAACTTAATCACGTCAACTACGTGTTGCATGCTTAAAGTCAATCCTGTCACAAATTCTACAATCTCACTATAACATCTTTCTAATCTCATCCAAAAAAACAAGCGATCCACTCTTGCTCATTTCAATTTTGATTTTTCATCATGTCTAAAGAAGTAGTTTATCACACCACACCCACAACCTACGTTGAAACAACCACTGTCGTGGAGGTCGGGCATGAGACCATCGAGCAGTCGGATCGTGGAATGTTTTATATTTTCGGCAACAAAGAAGAAGAGACAAAGTTTGATGACGAACAGCAAGTTCTGAAGGTTAAATCCGAGAAGTTAAAGCAGGATTTGCTCGACTTTATACAGGGTCATACGAATTCCAGTAGTGTAAGTTTTCAGTCTCCATTACATAATCACTATAACTTTTGGATCATTCAGTTCATTAAAATGGATTATCTGATCAAATGGTAAAGTAGAATTTTTGACATAATCCATCTCATTATGATGGTATAACTAAAAATATGTTTTCTTTGGTGAAATTTCTTTACAGTCAAATGTGATCCAGCACAAGACATCTGTACCAATGCAGAAATACGAAGAAGAAACTCATGTTGTCCAATCAACGGAGAAAAAGGGTTTCATCGAAAAGATCAAAAGTGATCACCAGGACAAGACGTCTGTACCAATCCAGAGAGGCGATGAAACTCATGTTGTCCAATCAAAGGAGAAAAAGGGTATCATCGAAAAGATCAAAGACAAACTCCATGACAGCCCAATCGAAAAGATCAAGGAGAAACTTCCCGGCCACCACAAGAAGGCGGAGGAGGTGCATGCTGCTCATCCACCATCACCTGCGGTGGGGGCACACGCCCATGAAGGTGAGCATAAGGAGAAAAAGGGTATTTTTGAGAAAATAAAAGATAAAATCCCGGGGCATCATCAAAAGAGTGAGGAAGAAAAGAGAGGAAAATGAAACGGAAAAGAAAAAGGAAGAGCATTTGTTACTTGATTGCGAGGTCGCGGCTCAGGTATGAGTGCGATTACTTATATCATATGCAAATGCAAATGCAAATGGAAAAGGTTACGCAAATGGGTTTGTGGGTTTATATAACGTTTTCTTTCTTTTGGCTTTTTTTTTTTTTTTTTTTTTTTGGTGCTTCAAAATAAGTGTTGTTAATTTCATGTAATTTGTAGTTTGGTGTTTATTTGTTTGGGTTAATTATAGATGCGTATTGTATTATAGAATGTTATATAATGTACGTATCCGTGCTACATGATCTTTATATCTTCATATAGGTTCTCATTTCTTATTAAAAACTATTTTGAAAAAACAATATTAGATTCCACGTATATCTTATATTATCCTTCAACTATCTGATTAAGTTAGAGTTTGTTTAAACTTATCTTTGCATTGTAAAATAAGCATGAATCGAGCAAGATGTCGGTACATATTTGCTTTTAGTTAATTTTGGTAGTGAACCCCCTTTTTCCTGGATTCTAGTTTTCTTCTTAAAAAATGGAGAAAAAAAATGATTTTGATGCCGAGGAATGAAAGTACGGAAGAAAGAAATAAAAGAATCTTATTAAACACAAGTAAGCAGTACTTTGGACGCTTGACAAAATTTTAAGAGTAGTACGGATGATTTGATTTTAGGGGCAGTATACAGAAAAATTTACATTATGTCGGAAAATTTCCCAAAAATTTACATTATACTGCAAAAACTAGATGGGTTCACCAGTCACCCCGGGAACCCTCTAAATCTGTCCCTACAGGTAAGTCGCTTATTTATTGGTATTATCATAAAACTTTTAGTTAATATTTTTATTTGTATACTAGAATGGATTTATTGTACCTCAACGGTATAGATGTAATGAAAATATTGTGTTTATTTTCCAAGTGATAGAGGTTTAACTCTCGTTTTGACCAAATATGTAGATTTAAGAGTATAATTAGTGGATATGTGAGTTAGTCGTTCTAAAAAATTATATTATATATGATTTGTTTATTCGTATAAACATAATGATGAACAAGATAAGAACTTAGCGATTAATGATCCATGTTGATGTGGTGTCATATGAAATTAGTTGATTCACCAAGATGATGTACATGTTATTTATGTGTTCATCAAACCACCCTTACCGCATAACAAGTTTTAGAGCTTTCATGGCGTGGTTTATAATTTTGTTAAACCGTACAATTTGGTATTCTTTGTGTGTGTTTTGATTACCAAGGACATCACTCAATCCATCACCGATGACTCGACGGGTTAACCTCCATACCCTTTTTCCATCAGGTAATACATGCAGACCGTCTAAAGAATTCATTTGGGAGGCCGATGGTCCAAGCCTTTCCACTACTAGGCCACAAAGGTGATTGTTTTGTATGTTGTTTTTAGCTACAATACCATAGTTTTAACCACATCAGCATTAACTTATAAAGACAATATACATTCATCCTTCATTGTACATTACACGTTAGACAGAGAGTGATGCCATTCAAAGACATAATGGACAAATAAAGCCAAATGTATGCTGTTTGACAAGTTGACTGTCACACCCCTAGCCGGCGATATAAACGCTGGGCGGTGAGACGACATCATGAATCACATTCATTTGCATACATAGAAGAAGCACAACAAATAACCTAATATTAGAAATATTATTACTGATAAAAGGTTTACATTGGTACTTTTTCACAGTTACATCAACTGAAATACTGATAGCATACTTTATTTCTTTATTTTTATTAGTTTATTTTAGATTTTTAGATATTTTTATCATTATTGCATTGTATTTTATTTATCAACTGAAATACATAAATAACCCTCCAACGGGAGGCTACTGAAACTAATCTATAGAAGATTATAACTCCAAGACTTCATTCCATAATTGTAATCATCATGCTCTTATTTCCTGAGAATACATGCATCCTGAAAGAGTGTCAACTAAAAAGTTGGTGAGTTCAAAGTTTGTAATAACTAAAACCAAAGGTAATTCTATACTAAAAGTTTGTCTACTGAACGTGTACTTTTATCGAGAAAGTATGTTTACTAAAAGTGTACTTTATATATAAAAAGTATGTTGTTGAAAGTGTACTTTTCTACCAGAAAGTATGTTACTAAAAGTGTAAATTTTCTACCAAAAGTATGATACTGAAAGTGTATCTTATACCAAAAATTATGTTACTGAAAGTGTATTTTTCTACAAAAAGTATGTTACTGAAAGTGTAATTTTCTACCAAAAAGTATGTTACCAAAAGTGTAATTTTCTACCAAAAAGTATGTTACTAAGACGATAAGGTGTGGACAACTAGATGTAACACCATTTTGGTGCCACATCACATACCACATCATCAATGGTGTTATAACACCAAGTGGGGAAATGGGCAATATGTTGTATCTTGTTATGACACCAACTTTTTTTTTTTTCCATTTTATAATTTATTTTTTATTTATTTCGATTTTTTTTTAAATTTAGACAAATATTTTTTAAATATAAATAATAAATAAAACGTCATGTTTAAAAACTATAAATAACAGTTAAAAAATTTTAAAGATTAAAATTAACATAAAGACTAGATTACACATAATATCCAAAAACAAAAAAAGAAATAACATCCACATTAAAAAAACAATACAACGCTATTCGTTATCGTTATTGTTACCATAGAATATATAAGCCGCCAAGTCCTCTCGAAGTTGTCTGTGTTTATTTGTGTCCTGAATGTCAACAACGCGATGCAAATAATCTGTTGTTTCTGGTTGAAACTGAACGTGTCTGTGCTCCGTTAGGATATAGTGTGCAATATTTCGCCATTTATCTTCTACTACCATGTTATGCATTATGATACATTCATACATGATATATCGTAGAGTTTCTAAATCCAATAGTCGTGCTGCATGTTCGACTGATCAAGAACGTTGACGTCGTTGTTGGAACCCGCAACCCCAAAAAATGCATGCCAAATCCATAAATCTTGAGAGGCGATAACCTCTAACACCAACCAAGGTGATCCGTGATAATCACTTGCGTATTGCCCTTTCCATGCTACCGGACAATTTTTCCATTTTCAGTGTGTGCAATCAATGTTTCCTATCATTCTGGGAAACCCATGGCGTTCTTCATGCGCCGCATACAATTCTTGCAAATCATGAAACAAAGGTTTCCGCAAATAGACGTCTCCAAAAATTTCAACAACACCCCTTGACAATGTATACAAACTCTCTCTTGTGGTTCTTTCGGACATTCTCATATAGTCGTCCATGGTGTCGAGTGACTCCCCCATAGCCATCAAACGAATGGCCGCAACACATTTCTGCAACGTTGTAAACCCTCGCTACCTCTAGCATTATATCTTAATTGAAAAAATTCGTACCTAAACATAAATTAACTACAGTTTAAAAATATATTGCATATGTTGTAAAATTAAAGAAACATGTAGTACATTTTTATTTATTTTGTATAAAAGTATAGTAAACAAACGATACCGGCTTTCCAAGGTGTTGGCGATTCGTAAGAACACATCCCTACACAAACGAAATCTTCTTTTGAAGTCCTTCGCCCCGTATACATAATTATCCGCAAAGTAATCGCAATATAGATGTTCGTGTCCTTCCTCGCGATTTCTGTTTAACATCGCACATCTTGTTAGTAGTGGGATGAGTCTGATTGTAGCAGGTCGGTAGTGTAATAATGATACATCATTCTAAAGAAAATATCGTCATCTGAATCATCGGACGAGTCGAAAAGGATCCATATTTTTTTGAAGATAATTGAAAGTATGTAGAGAGGAGAAGAGAAGCTGTGTGAAATTTTTTATAAAATGGTAGGTATTTATAGGGTAAATTTTTTTTTAATAGTTAATTTTTTTTAAAACCGTTGCAATTAAAACGTTTGCAAACGGTAACATTTTCTTCGTTTCATTCGGTCGTGACACCAACGAGATCCAATCTCGACAAGTTGCAACGAGCAGGGGGGCGGTGTTCCCCCCGTTAAGACACCGTCGCCATGCGCCACATCACTGACGTTACATCTCGTTTGGCCCATACCGATTGCTCTACAAAGGTTACTTTTCTAACAAAAAGTATGTTATTGAAAGTGTAATTTTTCTACCAAAAGTATGATACTGAAAGTGTATCTTATACCAAAAAGTATGTTACTGAAAGTGTACTTTTCTACCAAAAGTATACTACTGAAAGTATACTTTTCTACCAAAAAGTATATTACTAAAAGTGTAATTTTCTACTAAAAATTATGTTACTAAAAGTTTATTTTTGTACCAAAAAGTATTTTATTAAAAGTGTAATTTTTCTACCAAAAGTATGATACTGAAAGTGTATCTTATACCAAATAACCTAATTTCAGAAATATTATTACTGATAAAGGGTTTACATTGCTACTTTTTCGTAGTTACATCAACTGAAATACTGATAGCTTATTTTATTTCCTTATTTTTATTAGTTTATTTTAGATTTTTAGATATTTTTATCATTATTGCATTGTATTTTATTTATCAACTGAAATACATAAGTAACCCTCCAACGGGAGGCTACTGAAACTAATCTATAGAAGATTGTAACTCTAAGACTTCATTCCATAATTGAAATCATCATGCTCTTATTTCCTGAGAATACATGCATCCTGAAAGAGTGTCAACTAAAAAGTTGGTGAGTTCACTAGTTTGTAATAAATTAAACCAAAGGTATTTCTATACTAAAAGTTTGTCTACTGAACGTGTACTTTTATCGAAAAAGTATGTTTACTGAAAGTGTACTTTATATATACAAAAAGTATGTTGTTGAAAGTGTACTTTTCTACCAGAAAGTATGTTACTAAAAGTGTAATTTTTCTACCAAAAGTATGATACTGAAAGTGTATCTTATACCAAAAAGTATGTTACTAAAAGTGTACTTTTCTACCAAAAGTATGTTACTGAAATTGTACTTTTCTACCAAAAAGTATGTTACTAAAAGTGTAAATTTCTACCAAAAAGTATGTTACTAAAAGTTTACTTTTCTACTAAAAAGTATGTTATTGAAAGTTTACTCTTCTACCAAAAATTATGTTACTGAAAGTGTACTTTTCTACCAAAAACTATACTACTGGAAGTGTAATTTTCTACTAAAAAGTATGTTACTGAAAGTGTAATTTCCCACCAAAAGTATGTTACTGA